GCACGGGTACTTCTTTTTAGGCCCCCGCAGGGGGCCTTCTCCCACCGCAGCCGGGCTTTTTATTATTTTTCCTCCTCTCACTAATCTTATGGGAAATTGAAAATCCACTGTTCAGATTTTGATTAAATTTTACCGAAAAATCATTCGAAAAATAAGAACCATTTTTTATTAAAGGGTCATTAAAATCTGTGCGTACAGTTTTGAGAAAATTAAATTTAAACATTGAGGTTTTGAAGGAAAGCGACAAATCGCGCGAAACCAACAATGACTCGCATTTTTCGGGTTGTTTTTTTCGATCATTGCAACTTCCCCCTTCATTTTAGCTAAAAAATAGTTAAGACTAAATTTGCTCGGCGAGAAAAAAGCTCTCTATCACTTTTTTTAAAATTTTCTTACGATGTTCCTGTCATGAATGAGAGCGCAATGAATATTAGTTTACATTTTCGCTTACTCTTCGTGTCTGTTATTATTTTATAGTGCAGTTGGTGTTGATTTAAACTGGGTAATGTAAGCGAGCCGATTCTACACTGTTCCTTAACCCGTCCAATAAGCTTTTTTTCGACTCAATAAAATATACCAGTTAAAAGTTCTACCGGTTAAAAATTAAAGCTGCATAGTTTGTTTAGAAATGGGCGTGGCTACGAGAGTTCGGGGTAGAGAGGAGGCGCGCCTTCTAACAATACTGCCAACATTTCTGAAGGAACTCGGTTCATGTTTTTGGATAAATTCAGTGATGTACTCTTCTTATATTTGAATTGAGGACAACGTCTTGTAATGTTTTTGTAGCGTAGTTATGTGCACCTTATAGACATATGAATGCCATATGTTTGAACTTCTTAAGCTATGGGTGGAAGTAGGTATTTCCGGGGAATGCCCACGCATGCGCGGTAATGCCTCGCCCATCTCAGCTTTTTAAAGCTTCATATATACAGAACAGTTCCTCAGTGAGTCATAGTTAATAGGTTCGTGTTAGTTTTGAAACTGTAGGACACGTCCGGTAAAATTTGGCGAGTATCCGATGAAAGGCGATAAAACTGATTTCTAGAATTCTCAGCGACGTACTTTCACACGTAAGTCAGTCCCCTAAATGTGATTCTTTTCTGCGTATCGGAAACTTTTGAAACTTTGCAGAATGCATTCCGCAACTTAGAATATCCCATGTCAACGCAAATGCAACCAGTCATTGTGACACGCTTAGACGTAAATAAAGTTAGATTTGGGTCATACTTCGTGACTCCCAGGATTTGACAAAGTCAAATCGTATTTTTTCTTCATACAATGTTAAAATTGCCAACTTTCATCAGAAATCGTTTAATATCGTCAAAAACGCGGTTTTTGCCGTTATCGAAAAATCCACCTGACCTTAGGGGGGGAGGG